AAACTGAACAAGGTGCTGATTTACAGCCTAATCTGAATTGAACATTATACCATGTAAGAAGTTTTGAAGAGAGTGAAACAAGTGGAAGTCTGACTGTGCAAGGTCAGGCGAGTATGGTGTGTGTGGCAACACATCCCATCCAAGCTCCAATAATTTTTGATGGGTGATCAAACTTGTGTGTGGTCTCGCGTTGTCATGATGGAACACAACTCCTTTACAATAAACAAGCTCTGGACATTTCTGGATAATGGATTCGTTCAAACTGTCCAATTTGCCAACAGAACACATTCGAATTGATTGTTTGGTACTTTGGTAGGAGCTCAAAAAACACACCTTTAAAATCCCACCACACTGAGAGCATAGCCTTCCTCTGATGAATGTCTGTTTTCGATGTTGTTTGAGGTGAATCATCATTTTGGGACCAAGACTGTTTGTGCACCACATTGTTGTAAACAATCCACTTCTCATTACCAGTTATCAGTTGCTTCAAAAAAGGATAGTTTTCCTCACGTTTAATGAGCATATTGCAGGTGTTTATATGCGCTGTCAAATGAACTTCTTTGAGTTCATGCGGAACCCAAATATCGAGCTTGCTTACATATCCCAGCTTCTTCTTGGTCGTGAATGCTTGAATGATGGATGTTCAATGTTTCTGCAATCTCTCGTGTCGTGTAACGTGGGTTTGACTCCATCAATGCCTTTATTTTGTCGTCATCAATCTCTGTGGGTCTCTGTGACTGAGGAGCGTCGTTGAGATCAAAATCACCAGCACAGAATTTTGTGACCCATCATTGGCACTGACGTTCTTGTAGAGCATTGTCACCGTAAATTTTATGCAACTTTTCACAAGCTTGATGCGCGTTCTTCCCTTTGTAGAAGTAAAACAGTAAAATATGGCAAAAATGCACAGTTTGGTCTTCCATCTTCAACTTGTAAAATCTCCAGTACTCAACCAAATCGCTCAATTTTGTTTTATAATGAAGCTAGAACTGTCAGCTGTCAAATGACATAGTAATAACAGATGTGCATGACTCTAGCACTTCCAAAAGTGAACTAGTGCCATCTGTTGCAAAAATGCATCATGACTTTTCCAACAACCCAATAATAAACAATAAATGTTGTTGTTAATATTATCCAGAAGTCACAAGCTAGTAGACTGAACTAAGTTAGACCTATAAGCATATTTTGTTTTGCAGGCATAAAATTTGAAAAGAATGAGAAGTTGAATGCCTTTAGATAGGATTTGTACTCTCCATTTCGCCACAGGTCCCAGCATGAGCTACTGTCTCACACCCAGCCTGATTCATGCATTCATGTTATTTGCTTACTATATAAGCACTTGAGTTTGTGACCACCGGTTTGGAAGAATTTGTGGATGGTGGAATAATAAAAAGTGATTGCCAACTTAAAGCTGGCTTCACAAAGCACAGCCATGCTTTCTCCCCCAAAGCCAGCTGTATTTCAATTACTGTTTACAGGTCTGTCCGTCACGTAGCCAATTGCAAGACAGTGTTTTATTCTTTGTTTCCACAGGGCCCACCACAGATCCTGATGCTGCTCCATAAATCCTGTGTGTTGCAGTTAAGGGTGGGGTGGGGTGGGGTGGTAGGCTCTCAGAAAAAGGTAATGGGTTGGGCTGATAACAGTGAAAGGTGAACTGGAAGTGTGTGTTAGGTGTGGCAGCTGGGCAGTGCATATGGCATTCAAGAAACTGGGTTGAGAGAGGGTCAAAGATGGTGGAGTAGGTAAACACTGTGCTTGCCTCCTTCCATGGCCACATTAAAATTACACCTAAATTATAGAACAACCTGGAGAACCATCTGAAATCTAGCTGAACAGAAGTCCTATAAAAATATAAAGAAGCCATGACAACACTGGTAGGAGGGGTGGGGGCGTGGAACTGGCTGGCCCCACACCTGTGTGTGGTGGTTGAGAATTGGAAGGGATATCTTGGTTACAGAGGTTGGTCCTCCCAGAAGAGTGAGGGACTCCAGCCCCACAATGTGTTCACCAGCCCAGAGTACTGCCAGGAAAAAGTTCCCACAACATCTGGCTATGAAAAATGGGATTCTGATCCTCCAAGTGAAGCAGAAGGCTGCAGGAAACCCAGATGTGCTCTTAAAGGGCCTACACACAGACTCACTGCTCAAAGAAACACCCTGGGCTCCCGCAGAAGGACAGTGATTTGGGAGGCATCAGAGACATACAGGGAGAGACTGAGTTTTGTGGCTCCAGGGTGAGGACTGGAAGAACTATCGCTATTTTCTCTGTGTAGAATCTTCCCATGCACCCTACAGGCAGGTGCCATCTTTCTTGTGTTGAGCCCACCACCATACAGCCAATTCTGAATCTGCATTGGCCTGGCAAACTACACTCGCTCCACCCTGGTGACTCCCTAGGATCCTGCCCCACTCAATTTACACAATGCTGGAGGCAATTTCTTAGTGAGCAGCCAACCCCACTCACATTGCACTTTCTTGGACAACTTTTGGGGCTCTGCAGACCCCAGGTGGGCAGCAGCTGGCCTTGGTGTACCCTGTGACTTTTGCTGAGTAGCTCCAGGCTCAGCACTGGCATCAAACCAGAATCTACATTAACCTGGTGAACACCACCTGTTCCACTTTGGAGATATTCTGAGACCCTGCCTCACCAAACTCACATATCACATGAGGCTCTATAGCAGCAGAGCCTTAGGGGAGCCAGCAGGCTGCAGCAGGCCTCGAGGTGCCTTAGACTTTTTGCAGGCCTACTCCAGTCCCGGTACTGGCAGCAACCATCCTTGGCTTGCAGCATGGCCTCTCCCACATGCCTTCAGGTCCAGCACAGGGAGTGACCTACTGTGGAGCATTTTATAGCTCCTACCAGGTAGTTCCTGGCTGATCACCAGCCGTGGATGACCTGGGCCTGCACTGGAGCCCTCCCCACCCCTCCAAGAGGACCAGAACTAACATAAGCGGATGTCAGCTTCAGACCACAGCAGAGCACCATCCAATTAGTCCCATAAGCAACACACCCAAAGGGCAGTCTCAGCAGGCACCAGACCCCACTGGGGCAAATCTTTTCATGGGGTAAACCCCACACACAGCTGTGGACGTAGCCAAACCCCATAGCCAGTCAGCCTGAGGGTCAGTCCCATCAACTGATGTGCCAATAGCAATCAAAGCTCAACTACAACAAAAGGACATACACAACCCATACAAGGGACACACCTGGAGCACCTGGCACAGGTGACTAGTGAGAATGCACTACAGAGCCCCACAGGGCACCTACTATATAAGGTCACCTGACCAAGACTGGGAGACAGCAGATATACCTAATACATAGAAACATACATAGAGAGGCAGTGAAACTGAAATAACAAAGAAATACATCCCCAATGAAAGAATAGGAGAAAATACTACAAAAAGAACTAAACAAAATGGAGGCAAGCAACCTTCCAGATACAGAGTTCAAAACACTGGTTATAAGGATACTCAAGGAACTTAGTAAGAACTTCAACAAAGAGATAGCAAGCATAAAAAAAGGACATAGAAACCATAAAAAAGAACCAGTCAGAAATGAAAAATACAATAACTGAAATGCAGAATGCACTAGAAGGAATCAACTGCAAACTAGATGAAGCAGAGAATTGAATCCACAANGTCCTCCACAACTAGACTGAAGAACAAAAACGACAGCAACTTGTCTGTTCCCCTTCCCCCAATTCCCCAGCACTGTTCCCATCCCCCAATTCCCCAAAAAAAATCTTAAAAAAAAAAAAAAGTAGATTACAAAACATTATGATTAACACGAGCTCTTTTTTTAAAAAAAGTGAAAGTATAAAAGTATCTTCAATTTTTTTCTTTTATTCTCTTTTAAAATGTTTAACATTTGATATATACAGTGAATATGATTTATCTGTATATGTATGCATGTATTATAAAGCATAACATCATGAACTCGCCACTCTATGTAGTAACTAGAATGTCACCATTAAATTGCATTCATATGTTTTCCCCATCTCATCCCTCTGCCTCTGCCTTTTTCTTCCAAGTAGTTGTCCTGAATTTTGTATTTATTATTCTCTTGCTTTTATTCCAAAAAAGCTTTCCCCATTTTATGTATTCCTAAACAATATGTTGCTTAGTTTTGTTTTTGAGCTTTATAAAAATGGATCATTTTCTGTTATGTCTTCTAGGTCACACACGCACACGTTTCTAAGATTTATCCATATTATTGCATCTATTTAGCTATAGTACCTTCATTTCACTGCAGCATAATATTTTATTATGTGAACAGTTTTGTCATTTTTTTTTTTTTGTCAAAGAACTGGGTTGTTTCCAGGTATTTTGCTAATATAACACAAGACAGCTGTGTATATTCATGCACTTATCTCCTTTTGTACATATATGTAAGTTTAGGGTTTAAAAAGTAGATACTGAATTTGTTTTTATGTACACTCATCTGTTTATAAGTATATAGGAAAAAAGTCGGGGAGAAAATCCAACTCTTTTTGTTTCTTTTTGCTCACCTGTATATTCTAGAGAATCCACAAGCATGATCTCTGTTGGAACACACGTTGTGCTGCAGAACTCCATTGTGAACTGCGCACATGGTCTGAGAAGGGAGTGGTGCCTCTTAGAACTGTGCAGTGCAACACTAAGTGGCTTCTCTGTTTAATAGTAAAATTATTGAAATAAAAATTATAAATTAATAAAAATAAATAAAAACCATAAAATAAAGGGTACTGCCTATTGTCAGTGTTTTCCATCCTGCCCCCCATCCCAGTGAAAGCTTTGTCAAGTTTTGTGTGAGGGAGAAGCATGGGTGACATTTATGGGGACCTGTGATTGTTCTCTTTGGTTGCAAATTGTTTTCTAGCAACATCATGGGGACCCATTAAACTTTTTCACAAAATAATTTTTTAAACAAACAGCTTGAGCTCCTCCCCTGGCACAGTACATTTCTACAGGCAAGGGTGGTGGCAGTGGTGTTCATTTTCCTTGATGGAAACACCCATTTTGTATTCCGCTGAGTCTGGTATTAAGACCTGGCAAACAATTTATTTCTCTGATAGTTTACATTTTGACTAGGACACTGTAAATTATAACCTGAATTGACTTGATATTTCTGCTACTAGCTCTATAATCCTGTTTTATTGGCCTAATAGAAACATCTTATAAGATACCCTTATTTTCTTTCCCTTTTATTTATTTATTTTTTAAAGATTTTAAAAAATTTTATTGGGGAATTGGGGGAAGGGGAACAACGTTGGGGAATCTGGGAAGGGGAACAGACAAGTTGCTATCCGTTTGTTCTTCAGTCTAGTTGTGGAGGACGTTGCTTCACTGGCCCAAGTTGGCACCATCATTGCGCTCTTCCCGGGTGAGACAGATCAGTCGNCCCCCCCCCCCCCGCCCAACCCCAGCTCCAAACCCAGCTAAATCACAATATCTAATCGGTTGGATCCAGGCATTGATACTTTTTAAAAGCTCCCCCAGTAATTGTGCAGCTAGGCCTGACAACCAGTACCTTAGACTAGTGGTTCTCACGGTATGGTCCCTGGACCAGCAATACCAGCCCTACCAGGGAACCTGTTAGAAATGCAGATCTTGGGGCTGAAGTCTAGCTCTCAGTTTCCATCTTTTGCCAGGAGGAACGGGAGGGACCACATGGCAATTCCTGAGGGACTGCTATTGTCCTACATCCTCATTCCAGCCGAGCCACATTTCTTCTTATTTGTTTCATATATGGGGCATCTGTTAATTATTTTGTTCAAAGAGAAGATTTTGCTATTTAAAAACTACTTGAAAATAACTAGTGTAGGGTCTAGTATGTTCTTCACCGTAGATTAAGCTTTAAGAAGCCATATTCAGAAATTGTAATGTCTTGAGAATTTTACAATGAATTTGTTATATTGAACAATTTATTTACCATTAACTAAACTTTTCTTTGAACCAAATCCTAATTTGTGAATGTCCAGTTGAGCTGTAATTTGGAGGTATTTTCATCAGTATTTTAATGGAGTTTTTCCTGATTGTAAAAGCAATACATTCTCATAATAGAGATTTGGACAACATAGAAAGAATATTAGAAGAAAATAATTACTTATAACTCCAGGACCTAGAGATAACCACTATTTATTCTGTTCTTTTTTAAATGAATTTTTGTGCATAGTTGAAATCATACTTTATATGTCAGTGTCCTATTTATCAAGCATTTAACCATATCATTAAAAATATTTATAAATATAATTAATGATTGTATAATTTTCTATTATGTGCCTGTACCTTAATTTCATTAACTAGTCCTTATAATTAGATATTTTATTAAACTATTAAATGAACATGATAAAATTCTTAGAGATGGAAAGTTGATCACAATATATTAAATGATTAAAAAAAGTAGATTACATTGGGCCGGCCGAGTGGCGCGATGGTTGAGAACTGGCTTGGGACGCCAGAGGGCCCCGGTTTGGATCCCACATATGAGGGCCAGTGACACTGCCCNCACCACACAAAATAGACTTTAAAACAAAGGCTATAACAAGAGACATAGAAGGACCCCATAATCCCACTTCTAAGTATTCATCCAAAGAAACCCAAAACACTACTTTGAGGGGATATGTTCATCCATATGTTCATTGCAGTATTGTTTACAATGGCCAAGATTTGGAGGCAGCCTGGGTTTATGTTGATGGAAGAATGGATAAAGAGGAAGCGGTACATATTACATTAGAATATTGCTAGGCCATAGAAGGCAATGGGTTCTTGCGATCTGCAGCAGCATGGATGGACCTGGAGGGTATTGTGTTGAGTGGAGTATGTCAGACAGAAAAACACAGATGCAACTTGATTTCACTTATATGTGGAATCTAAAGAACAAAATTAACAAAACAAACTCATAGATACAGAGAACATTGAATGTTGCCAGCTGGGAAGTTGGTTCAGAAGGTGGGTAAAAAAGGGGAAGGGATTAAGAAGTACAAATTGGTAGTTACAAAATAGTCATGGGGCTGTAAAGTAAAGCATAGGAAATAGAGTCAAATATATGATAATAACCATGTATAGTGCCAGGTGGGTACTAGCCTAGTCAGAGAAGTCACTTCTTACATTATATGAATATATAACCACTATGCTGGACACCTGAAATTAATATAAAATAATATTAAATGTCAACTATAATTGAAAAATTAAAAAGTGGGGGGAAAGGTGAAGGGGAATAAGAGATTCAAATTTCCAGGTATAAAACCAGTCATGGGGATGTAATATACAGCATAGGGAATATAGTCAATAATATTGTGATAGCATGGTATGGTGTCCAATGGTTGCTGGACATGATGATCACTTTTTGAGGTATATAAATGTTGAGTAACTATGGTGTTCACCTGAAACTAATATAATATTGTATATTAGCTGTATTTTAATAAAAATCTTTTCAAGATATATAGTGAAGTAGATTCTCATATCATTAATTTTGAGTTCCTAAAGAATCTTTGTAGCACCCATAAAAGAGATCTTGTGGCTTTAAAAAGCTCTTGAACTTGCACACTGAGAAATTCAATCTGTAGGCCTGTTTATACACACAGGATATTACAATATATCTAAGCAGCTGGGAAGATGAATTGTGATGTAAAATAAAAGGGAAAACACATAGCACACCAAGGCAGGGCTGTTTAATGAGAAAAGGATGACTCAAAGGAAAACAGTATTTGTCTAGGGTAATAAAAAGTCAACCCACAGACAAATCATATAAGAATAAAGACAGTCTATTTCATATTTGATTTAAAAGGTACTGCATTTAAAGATATGATTACACTAGAAAAAGGAAAATAATATGAGCATATATACACAAAATATATGTTATTGAATATTTTTGAGGTATTTATTTTCAGATTTCATGCCATTTTAAAATCCAAACATCTTAATGTTTCTATGATTTATTTCTTTCCAACCTCACTTTTCCTTCCTCACACCCTGCTTTTCAATCATACCCAACAACCTAGTTTTTTCCCTTTGTTTTATTGAGATATATTGACATACAGTACTGTTTAAGGTGTACAGCATGTCTTGACTTACTCGTACATCTATTGTGAAATGATTACTGTAAGTTAACATCCATCACCTCATATAGATACAAAAAGAAGGTTTTTTTCCTTTGTGGACAACCTAGTTTCTTTTTTTATATTAAGTATGTATTTTTTCAGTTACAGTTGACATTCAATATTATTTTATATTAGTTTCAGGTGTAGAGCATAGTGGTTAGACATTTATATAATTTATGCAGTGATACCCATGATAATTCTAGTTCCCATCTGGCACTATACATAGTTGTTGCAACATTATTGACTATATCCTCTATGCTGTACTTCACATCCCTGTGACTATTTTGTAACTACCAATTTGGATTTCTTAATCCCTTCAGTTTTTTCATCCAACTCCCCAACCCCCTTCCCAACTGGCAACCATCAGTTTATTCCCTGGATCTTTGAGTCTGTTTCTGTTTTGTTTGTTCATTTATTTTGTTTGTTAGACTCAACATATAAGAGATCATATGATAATTGTCTTTCTCAGTCTAATTTATTTCACTTAGCATAATACCTTTTAGTTCCATTCATGTTGTCGCAAATGGTAAGGTTTCATTTTTTATGACTAATATTCCATTGTATTATGTACCTCGGCTTCTTTATCCAATTGTCTATTGTCTATCAAATAATGCTGGATTTAACAGGGATGCATATATCTTTTTGAATTAGTGTTTTTTATTTCTTCAGATAAATACCCAGAAATAGAATTGCTGGGTCATAAGGTAGTTCCATTTTTAATTTTTTGAGGAACCTCCAAAATGTTTTCCCCAGTGGCTGCACCAATTTACAATCCCACCAACAGTGCAGCGGTCCCTTTCCTCTGCGTTCTCACCAACACTTGTTTTTTGGTTTTTTATAATAGCCATTTAGACAGATATGATGTAGTATCTCATTGTGGTATTAATTTATATTTCTCTGATGATTAATGATGTCAAACATCTTATCATATGTCTGTTGGCCATCTGTATGTCCTCTTTGGAGAAATGTCTATTCAGGTACTCTGCACATTTCTTAACTGGATTGTTTGTTTTTTTGGTGTTGAGTTGTGTGAGTTTTTTTTTTTTAATTTTGGATATTAATCCCTTATCAGATGTATATTATTGGTGAATATCTTCTCCTATTCAGTAGGCTGTCTTTTCATTTTGTGGGTGGTTTCCTTTGCTGTGCAAAAACTTTTAAATTTGATGTAGTCCCATTTGTTTATTTTTTTGTTTGTTTTTCTTGCCTGAGGAGATAGAGCTGAAAAAAATACTGTTAAAAGCAATGTTAGAGAGTTTACTGCCCATGTTTTCTTCTAGAAATTTTATGGTTTCAGGTCTTACATTTAAGTCTTTAATCCATTTTGAGTTTATTCTTGTATATGGTATAAGTTGGTCCAGTTTCATTTTTTTTGCATGTATCTGTCCAGTTTTCCCAGCACCATTTATTAAATAGACTCTCTTTTCCCCAGTGTAAATTCTTGCCTCCTTTATCATAGATTAAATGACCATATAAGTGTGGGTTTATTTCTGGGCTCTCTATTCTGTTTCATTGAGCTATGTGTCTGTTTTTATGCCAGTATCATGCTGTCTTGATTACTATAACCTTAAGATAGTTTGCTACCTGGTAGTATGA